TCTGTGCTGCTAACGGCGCTCCCACTGACACATTAATCCCGCCTGTAAAAGGTGATGAATGTGTCCACGCCTTGGCAGTGCGCTCCATGTTAGTTATTATATTTCTAATTTGGAGGATAGCGCCTCACCCCACACTCCCTGGTAATGAAATAATTACTCATTTTGATAATTAAATCCCTTGTGTTGCTGCAGACTCAGATATCAGCTGACTTCAAACTTCTCACCCTGATGAAACATTTCTCTGAGTTCTCAGCAGCGTTTTCCCAGGAGTGGATTCTTTATTGAGGGACTCGTTCCATTTCATCTGACAGATCAGCATCCTGATGTTGTCAAATTGAAGCTGAGATGAAGTTGTTATTTCCCCTGAAATTCAGGAGAAATTCTTTTGAAGACCACCTGTGTACCACTGAAGCCCTTTTCAGACTGCTTAATGAAGCGTGACCCGTAATGAAGCCTCGCCGTCATCACACCTTTGTATGTGGGGGGTGGGGGGGGTCACTTCATCCCCCCATTACGCCTCCACGACATTCAGACTGAAGGATAAACGTCACGGGCGTAAATATTTCAGCTAGAAATGGCTTTCTGAACAGGACTCATGTTAGTAACTTTAGCAGTGTTGCCCCCTGCTGGCCGTTAGAAGAATGCAGCTTTAAAGGCTTTATATGTGATTTTTTGATCCAGCAGATGTCGCCCTTGAGCACCAGCATGAAACCAAAACAACTCGCGCTGCATTGTTGTGTTAGCATGCTAATGCTAGTGATCTTTATTATGCTCGTATCTTCACACTGCATGTACATTTACCTGAAATGAGCGTGATCTAGAAACACAGTTAAGCAGTGAGTACAGTATGTTCTTCTTTTCTCTAGTCCCTTTAGACTAGACTTTAAGTTTTATACACGAGGGGATGAGTCGGCTGGCCGTCCCGGCGATGTAAACAAACTGAAGATAGGACTCAGAAAACTCTGAAAGCATCACAGACAGTGGGACTAACATAGTGATTTTCAGAGGATAGACTTGATTTCTATTATATTTAAGTGTGAAAAATCACATAGAAAGACTTTAAGACAGGTGTGTGTTGACTTGTTTAGTTTTCATCTTGTGGTCCATGTTTTCACGCTTGTATTGACTGAATCTCTCTCACGTAGCTGTCTGCATGTTCCCCCGGCATGAGGCGTGACGCTGCACTCGCTGCATGACGCTCTCTCATTGGTCAGTTCATCATCCTGTTTCCTCTGCAAGGACGGTAACGTAACGTAAATATCTGGGTGTAGGTTGTGCAGGACTGATGGGGCTAATGAGGTGTGTGTGTGTGTGTGTGTGTGTGTGTGTGTGTGTGTGTGTGTGTGTGTGTGTGTGTGTGTGTGTGTGTGTGTGTGTGTTTCTCTGAATATATGTGTGTGTGTGTGTGTGTGTGTGTGTGTGTCTCTCTGAATATGTGTGTGTGTGCATGTCCCTGTGTCTGTTGCAGAATGCATTCGCCCCGCTGACAGACGCTAAAACCCGGAGTCATGCGGACGACGTGGGGCTGGTGCTGTCCTCTCTGCAGGCCAGTATATACCGGGGGGGCTACAGCCGCTTCGCCCCCTATTAGCAGCCCCGCCCCCTTCCCTCCACCTTTACTCAAGCTTCCAACGGGACGGACAGAAAGTGTGTGAGCGCGCGTGTGTGAGCGAGTGAGCGAGGGAGATGTTACTGTGGCCTGGGTTTTGCAATACGTGCAGTTTGTGCATCACTTCAGTCTCCTCCGAGAGAAACAAAAAAAAGAATCAATGACAGCTGATATTTTTCATCTTATACCTCAGATATTTTGTGCTGTGTATTTTGATATTGTGGGTTTTTAATTTCTACAGATAAAGTTTAGATGATCAGCTGTCCTCCTAGAGAGCTGCTAGAGCAGCGCGTAGACACAACGTGAATATTTATCAGATCGTTAGGGCTTGTATAGATCCCTGTCACATAGATCCTAGTCACTCTTTAGGGTTTTTATGTTTTGTAAGAGTGTTTCAGTGACTATGGTAGTCAAGTGTTGTCCTTTTACTTCTCTCAGCTTCCTTTGGCTCCTTCTCTCAGAACCATCTTCAGTTTTTTAGTTTCTTCAGGAAAAGAGAAGAAGCAGCGACGACAAAGACATTCTGAATACTAAAGAAGCTCAGAGCAGCCATGATGTTTCTGTTTTTATCCCTTCTTTAGTAACGGAGACATCAAACATTTTATACTGAAACATATTCATCACTTGATGATAATAATTAAGGAGAAGTCTGTCCCTGAGATGAAGCCCCCCGAAGCGTCTGCGATGTACGGAAGCCCCGAGAGGAGAGCGAGACAAAAAACTCGTCCTGATCTTTATTTTCGGTTTATTGTTATTTTTTATTTTTAGTGACAGGACAGTGGATAGCTGCAGGAATCAAATGTCCTCCTCGTATGATTTATTTAAACTATCACGGCGATGATGATGATGAACTTATTTTAATAGTTTTGTTCATTTTAATGTCCTTCAAAGGCTTCCATAGTAGATCAAGGTTTGACAGGTTAAAAAAAAAAAACATCACATAATCTTTACGTCAGTTCTAAATGATAAAACCTGTTATTGTTGTTGTAATACTCCTTCAGTCCACTAGAGGCTTCTCTGCACTGCTAACTCGTATGTATAAAAATTAAAGGTGTTTGTGAGTTTTAATTTCTCCACTGCTGTAAACATTTTTAATGTTTACATGAAATATATGTTTTTACCAAGCAGTAACCTCCTCTGTTGAAAAATGAAGCTAATGCTGAAGTGTAAAATCCTGCAGTTCCTGGAGTGTCCACTAGAGGCTGGCTGAAGAAGCACAGGAAGTCACATACACACCCATTCTAAAAAGCCTGTTTTTACAGCAGAGATTAACATGTTTACAGTCTGGTTCAAAAAACCAAATAGGTCTGATTAGCTCATGTCTCGATCGACACACACTGTACGGGCTGGGGTGAATGTTTTGATGACTCATCAGTTTTGATTTGATGAAGGATAAGAGTTATTCACAATAAGGCGTGTAGCTGACCTGATTGACAGGTGGGCACGGTGTAACGTTTTGTCAGGAGGTTTAAAACCCTCCTCAGATCCAGCTCTCAGCCTGTCGTTAGGCTGAGACAGCATTTCCAGCATGGAGACCGTACAGTCTGTGGTTTCTACCTCGTGTCTGTTGTTTATAGAAAGACAGTTTTTTTTCTCACTTGCCTCTCTGGGCTTCCACAGTTTCATTGAAGTCATTGAATGCAAAAACTAAAATCTTTCCTCCAATTACGGCCCGGCTGCTTTTCCATAGATCGATGACGTCACAATCTCGTCGAGACAAGAACTTTTCTTGGATGTCATAGCTGCTCTGGGCTTCCGTAGAGAATAACGTCCGTTTATTCTTCCAGCTGCAGATTTAACGATCGACGAGGTTTTTCTCTTTCATCACTTAAAGCCAAAGGTTCTGCGTACGGTCACGATTCTGCGGAAAGATAAAACAAAACATGTCACAACGAGCGAGAAAAACAACAAAGGTTACCACGGCAACTAAACAGTTCAAACATTTTATGCTAACTATGACGTGACCTCATTGGATTCATTGTGAGATAAATACGTGACCCGAGAATCTGGCGTACTCGTGAGACACGTTTTTTGGCACTAATCCTCTTCCGTACTGAGCGGCGTTGGCCATGCAGGCGTAGATGTTTTTTATATGAACTTATAAATGATGATTTTTATATGACAGGAGAGATTTAAAATATATATATATCTATAAGAGCGGTCGAGGCTGCGGCTGCGTCTGTTCTCTTTTTGTTCCGTTTGTTTTTACTTCAAATGTAAGGGGGCGGGGCTAAAGTATAATAATAATCCAAACATGTATGATCTTTGACTTGTGCAGTGAAGATGTTCTCTTATATAAAATAAAAACACAATAATGTTGAGATGTTTTAGATTTAGTCGAGTAGACGAGCGGGTCGGGACACATGTCTCGTTTTCTATGAATTGTCATTTTCGGGTTTTTATTCGTCATCACGTTCGCCACTTTGTACATAATCTCATTTATCGTCATCTCTGACTGTCAGCTGGGACGTTTAGCACATGCTAACCTGTATTTTCACACATGTACGGAGACATATCAGTGCTGCAGATGTCACTGTTATGACTTCGTGTCATTCTTAACGTGACCTCCTCTGTTCTTTTTTTAACCTTCACAACGCCATGTCACGGATATGAGAGACATACCCGCTAACAGGCTCATCTGTGCTGTAAATAGAAGTTACTGGAATAAATCTGTAGCGTGTTTTAAAGACGCTACATGGCAGCAGAAGCTCCGCCCACGAGCTGCGTTCCTCTGCTGCCAGATTCTGTTTACAACCACTCCCACCCAATCAGTTTTTATTTATCACGGATTACAAAGGACACACGGTCAGCTGCATCATCTGTGTGTGTGTGTGTGTGTGTGTGTGTGCGTGCGTGCGTGCGTGCCTGCCTGCGTGCGTGTGTCCTCTCTTCACTGAATGTCTGACACTTTATACGAGCTCTGCTTCAGTCGGTGTGTCGTGGTTCAGGCTCGTTGTACGTGCATGTTCTCTGGTTCTTCCACTAATCAATAATCATCAATAAAGTTTTCTTTGATCAACATATTAACAACGCAATCCTCCGTGTGGCGTGTTGCTCTTTTTGTGTATTTTTCTTCTTGTCAATCACAGAAGACCAACGATGAGCTCGATGTTTTCTGATCTCTGACCCCCTATGTGGTTCCCCGTGTGAGGCCCAACAGGACAGCTGCACACAAGACCATTTCATACTCGACCACCAAACCCCCCCATTTACAATTAAGGGGGCGTGGCCTGATTTTACGCTCATCCTCTGTCTATTAAACAATCCTCTGTATGCCGTGTTCCTTTGTGTAATTTTCTTCTTGTCAGCTCACAGAAAACCAACAATGAGCTCGATGTTTTCTTACCTTTGAACCTCTTTGTGGTGCCCAGTGCGAGGCCCATTAGGACGGCTGCACACAAGACCATTACACTAGGCCTCTTAACAAACAGGGGGGCGTGGCCTGATTCGAGGCTTATCACAACGGATTACTTGTTCAAAATATCATCCAGTGTGTCACTACAATTGTTTCACCGCTCCTGATCGAATCAGAACCGCAATGACCAGGAGTCATAAATGTCTGACTCCACGTTGGGCTGCCTCCTACAGGAGGATTATTATTACTTCATTATTGATCTTCTATTTTAGCAGAGAGGACTTGCTGAGACCAAGCGCTCTTTATAAGGAATGCCCTGCAGCCACACAAGTAACAGGACTGATATGAACAGTTAAAAATAAAGACACAGAGACTGAAACACCTCATACCTCTAAAAGACGTAAATTTCAATGATTTCACATTTAAAAGAGCTGCACTTTCCTTTTAAAAGTCATTTGGTCACTCTATCTTTAAACACACCATATGAAACCAGAGAGGGGAGCTTATCCGTCAATGTGAAAGTTGTTCCACATAACTGCTGCAGCGGCATTAAAATCAGTCTTTCCCAGTCAGTCCCGACCGCTTGAGATGTTTAGACACAGGAGAATCGTCATCGTCAGGTAAGGAGGGAGTCGATCCATGAGTGTCATAAATCAACAGAACACTGTGCTGATTTCTCCGTTGACCCGGCCAGCCCACAGATCGTTACAGGTCACAATGAGAATACCTGCAGCAACCTAAGAGAGTGAGCAGAGAGGGAAGCGTCACCATGACGACCGTCTGAAGGTGTTTGATACTCTGGGATACAGGTTCTTTCTGTACAATGAAAGTTCAACTGGCTGCACATCAGACCATTTAAGACCCGATCCCCCAAAAACAATCAGGGGGCGTAGCCTGACTCAAGGCCAATTGTTTAGGGTCAGAAGGCAGACTCAGAGGGCTGAACAAACACCTAGCTGTGGGAGTGTCACCCACCTAGGGGAGGGGCTACTGTCCTTTGTGATGTCATGAAGGGAAAATCTCCAAACAGCCTGTTTGAGCACACATTTCCTGAAAAATGGAGCAGACAGAAGACGGAAAGGATGGACTTTTGTCATCACTGGGGGGAACCTGCATGCTGCTGTTATTTCACTTAATGATCCTAAACGACCCCCCGGGGGTCCCGACCCCGACTTTTGGAAACACTGCTTTAAGCTATTTAAAGGATAGAAGTGGTTATTTTAAATGAGACACAATCTTTAAAGTTTAGTTTTAGATGACGTAAATATTTTGAATATATTTTTTTAAATTTGTTTCAGTCATGAACAGTTTGACTCATGACTTCAACGAGCTTCATTAACAAACGTATCTTCACGTCAGCTTCATTGACAAACGAAGATCCAGGGTTTTTGACTACCTGCAGCGTGAAGTGCAGAAACAAGCCGTTACTCATGCGCTGTCAGTGCAGAAGTGGCACTCTGAGGGAGCAGCTGAAATGTGCATCAGTCATCAGAGAGAGGAATTACTCTGCAGCTCGCTCTGATTGGTATAATTAGAAAGAGGTAGCCTGGGGGATGGGGTTGGTGGGGGTGCACACAAAGATAAGCTATATAAATGTTTAAATGTGATGAAGGGTTCACATTACAGAAGGTAATTATGTCTGCTGCTGCAGAAGCAGCTGATCAATAATGAATGCAGAGCGGCTCACTGATATCGTTCAGTTTGATTATTCATTCTGCAGCGACGAGAAGAAAAAAGTGCATGACAAGTTTTTTTACTTCCACTCATCTGTGGACTGAAACACTAAAATGCTCTCCTTTCTCCAAGCGGTGATCATCAACCGTGGCCCACGGGCCCCCAGAACATTAGTTATTATTGTAAATCTAAAGAAATTATCTCTGGGGTCCCACAAGGGTCAGTCCTTGGGCCATTACTTTTTAATCTATACATGCTTCCGCTCGGTACAATCATCCAGAAACACAACATATCTCACCACTAATACGCTGACGACACACAGCTGTACATCTCGCTCTCATCTGAGGATCTCAGTCCTATAAACAAACTAACAGACTGCATTAAAGATATCAACTCCTGGATGTCCAGAAACTTTCTCAAACTAAACACAGACAAGACAGAAATACTCACCATTGGTCCTAAAAATCAGAGACAGCACATCCATCTTCACCTCAAATCCATATCAATAAAACACAGTGAGCAGGCCAGAAATCTTGGCATTATTTTGGATTCTGACCTTAGCTTTGACAATCACAGCTCCAACCTTACCAGAACAGCATTTTACCATTTAAAGAACATATCAAAAATCCGATCCATCATATCCCAAACTGACGCCGAGAAATTAGTCTGTGAGAAACCCTGTACAGGATCACCTTCAAAATCCTTTTATTAGTCCATAGAGCTCTCAACGGTTCAGCTCCTCAGTACATTTCTGAACTGTTTACTACAACCCAACCCGGACACTCAGGTCATTAGGTGGAGGTCTTTTAACCGTACCCAGAATCAGATCAAAGTCCAGAGAGGGGGCCTTTAGTTACTGTGGTCCTTCTCTCTGGAACAAACTGCTGACCTGAGGTCCATCACTACTGTCTCTACTTTGAAAACACAAC